CACTCACTCACACACACTCACTCACACACACACACACACACACACTCAATCACTCACTCACACACACACACTCACACTCAATCACTCACACACACACACACATTATGCACTTTTTGCAAAGAGAGTCGTGTTATTTTATTACGCTTTGAAGAAACGTGCATTAGTATTATTTTGCTCGATGCGCCCTCTTGTGGCCTCAGGAGAGAAGCCAAAAGCTTTTTTATTGATAATATTTAAGTACAAAATTCTAATTTAGTTTTTCAGCCGTTTTGACAGCCCTAGTGTGTGGATGTTTAAAATAATGTTTATAAACCTTATATAATTAATAAAGTTGCTTAAACAATTAGAAACAAAACAGCATCATGCATGTATGTATAGTTTAATACAAAGGACCAAAAACCAATCAGAAAGAGCAGGCTACTTTCTTCATTTAAAATCATGAGATGCAGTGTGATGGGGAAAACTGCCATAAAGTCTCGAGACATGTTTTTTAAAAGTTGAACTTGCATTAATTGTACATGTCTTTCTAAACATGCGGCTCTCTTGTGCGAGACGCGAGTGCAACGCTGATAGATGTCCCTCTAGAAAATGTGATAAATATGTGTTGGTTTCGGTTTCGCCGTAAACAACATCTTCTCCACACTGATGTTCTTGTTTTCTGCAATATATTGACTGAACAACGCAGCAGCGCCGCATCTAGTGTGTTCAACTGGACAGGCTAACAAAAGCATTCTAATGCGACGACTCTTACATCGTCATTGCATCTCGTGCAGCACTGATAACTGCCTGACGCACACCTAACATTCAAATGCAACGCTTTTGCATTCTAATGTGGATTTTTATTTTAAATTCGACGAATATTCGAAATTCAAAATTTTTTTGACAGCCCTAACACACACACACACACACAGATTGAACAGTTTTGTTTAAGCTATAAAGCAGCTCTACAGAAGATAATGTCATTATTCAGATCAATTCGGTTCCAGTTTTGTTCTCATCTGATAGAGTCAGTGCAGTCCTATGGATTATATCACTGATTATTAATATGTCTGTGTGTTTTTTCTCTCCGTCAGTCATGTTGGTTTTACTCGCTGCCATCTTCCTCCTCCACATCGCCTGCATCTGTCTGCTGCTGGCCGCCACCATCCATAACGTGAGTGACACACATCACAGCCTGTGGGCGGGGCCAGGGGCGGGGCTTCACTCGCACACACACACACACACACACACTATGGTTTAACATGCTAAAATGTCACGTTTATTGTAAATGATACGTTTATTATATATAATGTACTATATTAGTATTTCCCACATCGGCTAATGAACCGGAAGTCTCGCACATAGGCTTACTTCGGCGTCGAAGAATAAGGTGCATAAGTACTAATAATCAGCCAATATGTTAATAATAAGCATGCTAACAAGCAACTAGTTAATAGTGAGGATTGGTCCCTATACTAAAGTGTAACCTATAATCTAATATAATTATCTGTGACCGATAGTTATTAGTAATATGACAGAAAGAGTTTGCTCCAGCTACAGTTTGCTATAGAAGAATATGACACCATAGACAGTCCATGTTTCTCATTCATGCTGATATACATGTGTGTGTGTGTGTGTGTAGGCCTGGTGGATGACCGACTCCATGTCCACTGATATTTGGGGTCGCTGGTTGCTGAATGGTGAAACCTGGAACTACACTGAGATTCCTGCTCACTATCCTAAAGGTCAGTTCTGTGAATCTCACAGGTCTGAAATCTCATTCTAATCCACAAAGAGCTTGGTAATAAGCACTACTTCTCACATTTGGCATCAACAGGTTTTCTTTAATGTTTCTTTCACTCACAGCAGCAAACTGACATTTACTGTTTTTGTACCGTCATTTTACATGTCATTTTTATGCATTTATTTGAAGTGGTTCTTAAAGGGTTAGTTCACCCAAAAATGAAAATTAGCCTGTGTTTTACTCACCCCCGAGGCATCCTAGCTGTATATGACTTTCCTCCGGAACGCAATGGTAACGCTTGGCAGAGCCAGGATCATTTTTAATATAACGCAGATTGGATTCGTCTGAAAGAAGAAAGTCATATACACCTACGATGCCTCGAGGGTGAGTAAAACACAGGCTAATTTTCATTTTTGGGTGAACTAACCCTTTAACCAGCTCATCAGACACTCACGTGTTGGTCTGTCGTGTTGTGTTTCAGAGTATCTGCAGGCGGTCCAGGCCAGCTCTGTGCTCGCATGCGTCTTCTGCATCCTCGGCCTGTTCGTGTTCGTCGCGCAGCTCTACACACTACCTAAAGGAAAGCGCTTTCTGTTCACCGGAGCCTTCCAGCTGCTGGCCTGTACGTGTAACACACTCACACACACACACACACTCACTCTCACACACACACACACACACACACACACTCTGAAGTGTGTGTTTGTGCTCCTCAGGGTTGTGCATCATGATCGCGGCCTCCATCTACACGGACATCTTCCATAAAGACAAGGAACAGGGCTGGTACGGAGCTTCCTTCATCCTGGCCTGGATCTCCGTCTGTCTCACCTTCATCTCCTGCATCACCTACTTCATCCTGCGCAAGAAGACGGCATGAAGAACACACACACACACCAGCAGATGTTTAAACACTCGTCAGATGCTGTCGATGACGATCCTCTGATCTCAGAACTGCTCAGGTTGGCCTCGAGTGTCTCAAGGCATCTGTAGATCAACATATCCATTATATAGCTGAATGTAATCCTAGTGAGGTTCCGTGTCTAAATACAGTGTCGTGGTTTTGTTGTAAATGTCATGTTTTCACTATAGTTTAATTGCGGGCTGTTTTACGGTCGTGTGACACGACAAGCCCCATTTAGCACTGTTACGGGTGATTCTTCAATACACTACCTGACTGTTTGTTTCTGTGTTAACATGTTTATCACGTGTCCTGTACTAACCATCTGATCCACCCAAGGGTGGATTGTGCCAATTAATCCATTTAAACGTTGGTCACTGCAAAATATCATTACCATCACAACATGAAATAATCATTGGATTGTGATGTTGCTTTTTAAAATTAAATCACTTCACAATACATAAGATACATCTTAAGCAACAACGTGCACGGAGTTGGCAATGATCCTTTGTTTTAGTGATCAAGTCTGGTCATAATTTAAGACATTCTGAAAGACAAAAGTTTTTTCAAATAAATAAAAGACATATATGTTGAACATTTTGATTTTATTTGAAAGTAAAGCAGACTAATGATAATCAGTCCTATGACAATATAATGTGTTTCTGAATTAAAAATCTATTCCACAACTCAATATATGTGTAAAAACGAATCATGATTTTAGCATGTTTTATTAACTTATACAATTTAAACTGAAGACTGAAAATGTAGAACAAGTTATTAAAGTTAAAAGACTGTTTTCGGGGATATTCGCCAAGACGGGTAATTTCACATCATTTTGTATGTGTTTGTCCGTTCAATGTTCGTGAGAACCAAATTAAGTTCTTTCGCATCTTCTAGCACTTAAATGATATAATATGTGACCCTGCAGCACAAAAGCAGTGTTAAGTCGCTGGGGGATATTTGTAGCAATAGCCAACAATACATTGTATGGGTCACAATTATACATTTCTCTTTTATGCCAAAAATCATTAGGATATTAAGTAAAGATCATGTTCCATGAAGATATTTTGTACATTTCCTACCATAAATATATAAAAACTTAATGTTTGATTAGTAATATGCATTGCTAAGAACTTCATTTGAACAACTTTAAAGATGATTTTGCTCAACAGAGCGATATACAGCAGCTCCATCCCCAGAGAGAGCCACACGATCCCTGCATGCACACACACACACACACACACACACACACACACGCGTGTTGAAATGCACACACACACACGTGTTGAGATGCACACACACACACACACACGCGTGTTGAAATGCACACACACACACGTGTTGAGATGCACACACACACGTGTTGAGATGCACGCACACACACACACACACACACACACACACACACACACACGAGTTGAAATGCACACACACACACACACGTTGAGATGCACACACACACACGTTGCGATGCACACACACAAACACACGTGTTGAGATGCACACACACACACACACACACATTGAGATGCACACACACACACACACACGTTGAGATGCACACACACACGTTGAGATGCACACACACACATAGACACACACACACACACGAGTTGAAATGCACACACACACACACGTTGAGATGCACACACACACACACGTTGAGATGCACACACACACATTGAGATGCACACACACACACACACACACACACACATATGTAGTGTCACGAAAGACCTCTTACAGTACTTAACATTTCACTTACATTACTTACATGAAACATTTCAGAGTAATCATGTTTTGAATGTGTAGGTTTCACAAATTTAGACCGTTTTGAGCAGTCGTGTTCGAAGGAATTGAATGAAATCCATTACTGTCAGTACTGGTGATATTCAAACACAATTTCTAAAGTACTGATAAAATATGCATCAAACTGGTTTTTGCTGTAGTTCTTGTACAAGATTTAAATTTGAAAGAATTTCTCAATTTTTAGATTAATAAAAAAGTGGTTAAATGTTGTAATAACATGGTAAAACATAAAAAATGTGCACATTCACTCAAGAGACGCTACTCATTAATAAATAAACTCAAGTCAAAATCATTTTGTAGATTACTTTTTATAGTAAATCCCATGTTTTCATCTTTGACCTAGAGGAATGCAGCTGCTCAAAACGTCAATATTTTTTGAAAATATTTCATGAACGTGCATATCTGCAAAAAAATATATATAAAGAAAAGAAATAAAAAAAATAGGACTTTCTATTTGCTTTTAAACTGTAAACGCCTTTCACTAAGCTGTTTTTCCCATTTTTCAAGTTCTACATTTTCTCCTTAGCTCCATGTTGCAGTAAGTTTTTAGTCCATGTCCTATCCTGAGAAGTGTGTTTGCAGAGACGGACAGAAATGAGCTCCTAAAACATACTGCCAGATTCTGGAAGATCAATTCTTCAAACAGCGAGAGGATGTGGTGCTGGTCCTTCAAGAGTCACTCTCAACTTATCTGTCTATAAAGCCTATACAATAGTCTTCATGTATTTCACAACACTTCAGCATGTTATTCTAATTAAGTAGAGGTCATTTTTTAGGATCTTTTACCCAAGCGAAGTACTGACCCCGCTGACCCAGTGAGCATTTTGCTGACCAATGGTCATGCCTTAACTTTGAGTACTCTCTTTACACAGAGTGCGTGTGATCGTGAAATCGAAAGAAAGTGAACAGCGAGCGCTCATTCAAATGCGATTTCAATACCCCGTGTATTGATAGCGGCTCCCTGATGTGTGAAAATAACATACAATATTAGAATGTCTGCGGGACACACTCGTTGCGGGAGCGGGCGGTAATGGTCAGAAATTCGGCGGGAGCGGGCTTAAGAAAACTGTCCCGCTCAGGGCTCTATGCTGCGCATCAACACACACGCTAAGTTTTTTCCGCGCTTCCCCATCTCCACCCCAATCATTAGTGCCGTTTCATTCTGTCTTTGACGGAACATATTGGACCATTTTTGAAATAGCGCCATAAACAGGGGTTTAAACCCCCATTCCACAGCCATACCTGTCACACACCCAGTTTAAAAGCTATTTCTTCTTCTTGTAATCAGGAGCGCTTGTCCTCCTAATCTAAACAATTTAGGAGCACCTTCTGATCAATAATAAAAAAGTCTGATCAAAAATGATCCTTCCTAATACGAGGTGACATGTGACTCCAGCAAGTCACTAATTTTAACATTGAATCATTCATTCAATTGATTCGTTCGAACGGCTGATTCATTCAGGAATGAAGCAAGTGACTGTCTTTATGAATGGGTGATCATGAATCACTGACTCACTAGATTCGTTCAAAAACGCACTTTCATTGAATGAATGAAACACTGCTGTGTTTGCTTTTAGAGATGTGCAGCGGCTGAGCGGTTACTTTATTTGGATCTATTTTCGTTGATGAAATAGAGCAAACTCAGGCAGTACTTGTTTACTGAACTGTTGTATTAAATCAATATCACATTTGCAAACTCCTTGAATAACTATTAAAAGCTGTCACTCTCCTTATCGCGATCTGTGGGCTGAGTTAATCTTAAACAGTAAAGCATACACACAAACTGTTATCGAATAAACGTGTGTCCTAAACTCCTGAAACACTGGTGTCTCATATTTTATAGCAATTAATGCGATTTGGGAAAGAAATCAATCAAATCTGTATGTGTGTGTGAAAATATTCAGATGTAACCCCCTGTGTAATGGTTAACACTTTCATAAGTAACTGTAATTGAATTACACATCTTTTCTCAGTGACTGTAACGGACTACAGCTACGTTAATTGCGTACTTAATTCCGTTACATGTAACTAGTTACTCCCCAACACTGCACACAGAATATTTCATATGCTCTCAGATTTCTCCCTCTATTGATTTCTGTCATATTCACGAAACACCATTATACTCACTCACAAACACACACACACACACACACTCTCTCTCTCTCAGACACACACAGTCTGCGCTCTAATCTGTCAATCTGCTCCAGCTCAGTGACACAAGCTCCCTATGCACTCACACGCTCATCTTCAATCATTCCTTAACACACACTGCAGCTGGATGACAAAACCGTATTTAAAGCGGAGTGTGTTATTGAGAGCGACCCATGCTACGCAGAAATCTACTCCAAACCCTCACACACACTGCCGTTCAAAAGTCTGGGATCGCCCGGGATTTAAAGAAGCTTCTTATGGTCATCAAGGCTGCATCTATCTGATAAAAACACAGAAAAAACTAATCTTGTGAGCTATTCCCCAGTTCGCCAGCATGCACGTCACATAACAGGCCTGTAGGTGGCGCTTGGGCCTCATTAACTATGATATGAAAGATTCATAATGAATTCAATCGACACACTAGCTTTGATTATTGATGGAAGAGTAACGTTTACAATATTGTTTGGTTTATTGTTTCTGAACAGACACCACCTCAGATCATGAGACAGACATGTGAAAATAAGCAGGGATTTTCTACACATCGTCACGTAACATCATTCAAATGCGTTTTGTTTAATCGACTACAATAGCGTTGCTATTTGTCCGAGAGCGGCACTTTTGAATCATTTTGAAAAAGGGCAGTTTTTAATGTTTTTGTTAAAGTCGTCTCTTCTGCTGCATTTATTTGATCAGAAAGTTCAGAAGAACATAGAAATCTTTTATCTCACAATAGTACAGCTTTTGCTGTGTTTCGGATCGTATAAATGCAGGCTTGGCGAGCAGAAGAGAGTTCTCTAAAAAGCATTAAAATACCATCTTCTCACGGTTTTCACTGAGAACACACGGCTCCCTCTGAATGTCTGCCAATGGAGAGAGATCAGCCAGACGATCACATCTTAAACTCTGACATTAGAACAGAGCTCCGTGCATGCGTGCAACATGCCCGACTTTATCGGACGATCTCCGCTCCCAAGTCTTTTAGAAGGATTTCAACAGTTGAACAGTTGAGTTGAACAGCCAGAGACAGACACGCGGAGCAATGAAAATGACCAGCGCTTCTCCACTGTATAACTGTATTCAAGAGTCAGAAGCATACTGACATGTTTTCATATGGCGATTCTTTTAGGAGTTTCTCTTGTCCTTCAGGAGTTCTGCGCTCGTGGCTGCCTTCTCCTCGAAACGCTGCTTCGCGGTAAATCCAACGCAGATGATGCATGTGCTTTCCCTCATCCACGGCACAAAACCCTCGGAGGAGGGAAATAAGAACACTTATCAAAGGAGCACACACACAGGCACACCTTCGAAGGCAATATATATATATATATATATATGTGTGTGTGTCGCCATGACAACAGCGTCTCAGCGGCAACCGGGTGATGACACCGCGGCTGCTCCTGGCACGGAAAACGCTCGGAACTCTCAGGGTAAAGTACGGATTAAAACAATAGCGAGGTTTAAAAAGAACGATAATACGAGTTATGATAAAATACTACATATAACTGGTGTAAACACAGGGCCTCCACTAGTGTTCTCCAGAGAAAGTCCATCCTCGGCACAGAGCGAAGCCCAGGGTTTGGTTAGCGAGCGAGGGAGTCTGCAGACAGATGTGCGCACTCGCTGATCTCCGAGAGC